CGTGAACAAGCAATTGCTGGAATGGAAGCTAGCCTTTTATCTCTGCTTGGTTTTGCTAAGAGGCCAAAACCACAAGGTCCTGCTTATGTTCCAGAATCATTAAAAAACTTTTTATTAAACAAAATACAATTGGTACAGCTGATATTGCAAAACCAGGAATACATGCCAGATCTGCTAATACAGTGCGTTCCTTTTCTCATGTTGGTAAGCAAATATTTTCACAAACATGTATTTAGATCTTACATATATAAAATTATTTCTTATTTTCATTATAATAATTTGTAAATTAGATATATTTTAAATTATAATAATTATTACATTAAAATTTAATGTAAGGTATTTAAGTTATTATTATAATTATGAAATCTGCAATTTATAATTATGAAATCTGAATATATATAATATGTTTGCATAATAATTATAATATAATTAATTTATATATATTAAATATAAAATATATATAAATATATAAAATAATATATAAATATATTAGTATATTAATTTTTTTTCTTATTTTCTTCTATATACAGAGAGTAAGGTGGATCATAAATTTCAATCTCCAAATCGCTTTCGTCTTTCTTTTGACTTAAGTAGTATTCCTTCAGGAGAAAAATTACAAGCTGCAGAATTAAGTCTTTCTCGTGTACCTATTTTAAATCAAGATGATTCCAACCCAAAATTGGGTAGATTACTTATATATGATATTTTACGTCCTGGTGCAAAAGGATATAGTACTCCATTATTACGTTTAATTGACAGTAAACTAATAAATACTAGAAAAAATGGCACAATTAGCCTAGATGTTCATCCTGCTGTAGAAAGATGGATAAAGGATCCTAAAAATAATCATGGACTTTTGGTGCATGTACGTGGAATTAAACAGGAGCATGTACGTTTGAAAAGAAACACAAATGAAAGAAATGATACATGGATTGTTAATCGCCCAATGTTATTTACTTATACAGATGATGGCAGGTATAAAATAGTTTTTCTTCTTTAAATAAAATAATTTATATTTTCTTTTAATTCTATTTAAAATATAAATTTTTTATATTAATATTTTATTTTATAAATTTATTATAATAATATTGCTCGTAGAATATTAATTATATAAGAAAATATATTAATTATATAGATATAAAATGTCTTCCGCAAGTCAAATAATGGATCGCCGTGCTAGAAGAGCAGCACTTCGAAAAAATCGTCGAAAAGATGGACGTGAAAATTGTAGGCGACATCCGCTTTATGTTGATTTTGCTGATGTTGGTTGGAATGATTGGATTGTTGCTCCCCCTGGTTATGATGCCTTTTATTGTCATGGTGATTGTCCCTTTCCATTAGCAGATCATTTAAATTCTACCAATCATGCAATTGTTCAAAACTTGGTTTATTCAACAAAACCAAGTATGGTGCCTAAAGCTTGCTGTGTACCTACTGCTCTTAGTTCAATATCCATGCTTTATCTCGATGAAGAAAATAAAGTAGTATTGAAAAATTATCAGGACATGTCTGTTCTTGGATGTGGATGTCGTTAACTATTCATTAATTGGTTCAACAAATTATCCTAACAGTGAAGAAAGAATGCATGTGCAATAAAAATGAAAATAGATAAAAAGGTATTAAAAGATAAGAAACAAAGAATTAAGATTGCAATAATGCCATAAATAATGTTATAAATACTGTTTTGAAGATGTTGAATTGTTTATTAAATATTTACATAATTAAGGCATTTTTGGATTTTAAATTTATTATGTATGAAAATTTTAATTATATGAATAATTGTTAAAAATTCAGATAATTCTGACTGCCTAACTTATTTTTTATTCACAAAATAAAATAATCTGAAAAAATTATTGTAATTTACTATAATATAAAAAAATTTTGATCCATTGATTATTATAAAAAATTTAAATATAAAGGTAAAATATTTGCTATAAATACTTCAAATTATATATATATATAAAGAATATCTATGAAGAACATAATTAATTTTATCAAGATATTATCAATCATATAAAGATAAAAATTTAAAGAAATGTTAGGCAATTAAGATTTTAATCTCATTTTTATTTGTGCCTTATATTAAAGTATTTTACAAAAAAAAAAATATTTTCAGAATAGAATTTAAATCGAGATAAATGCGCGCGCCAAAATTTTAAGTATTTCCTCTTGTAAGCTTTCTAAACTAATAATTTGTTACTATCGAGAACTAATTAATTTTTTAATCGATTGTTAATTGTTCAAAATGATAAAATTCAATTTGAGCAAATATGCAATTGATTTTTATTGACGGCAGGAATATATTGAAAATATATAAGAATAACTGAAAATAATAAACTAAATTCATATTTGATTACTAATTTCTATGATTACTAGTAAAATTAGTAATTGATATATTTATTTTCATAATTTCTTCTTTATCATTTCATTTATAAAATAATTGTTTCTAAGGTATATAAAATTTTTTTAATATTATATTTAAATTAAATTTAATAAAATAATTTTTTTTTTAATATTAATATTCCAAAAATTTATTTTCTCAAACATTTTAATTAATTGTGTAATTAAATAATATATTGTATTACAAATTCTTGAAACAATTGTATTTATTTGATATTAAATTTTTTTTAATATTTTTTAAAATATTATATCCATTTGAAAAGTAAGACATTTTTTATGAAATACATATAAAATTATTATAACTTATTTGAATTAATAATTAATGAATTATTTATATAATTCATTAATGATTTTAGTTTTATGAACTCATTCATAATATAGATAATGCTATAGTATATATTATATAGTATATAATGTTAATAGTATATATCTTTTATTTTAAATGAATTAAGATATCAAAAGAAAGAGTGAGAGTGAGTGAGTGAGAGTATGTGTGTGTGTGTGTGTGTGTGTGAGGAGAGAGAGAGAGAGAGAGAGAGAATCAGTAAGAAGAATTTATGAAAAAAACATATATATTGTACTATAAGTAAATATTTGTAAAGTTTGAAAAATATAATAATAATAATAATTTATCATTTTAAACAGGATATGAAATATTTTGAAACCTAATTTTTCCTAATTTACTTAAACTATAACTATAATAATTTCAATTTTCTTTTATTATAAATTTGAATTATTGACTTATTGAATTTTTTTTATTTTATAAATTTAATTCAAAAATTCTTCAAAGTTATAAAAATTTTTTTTAAAGCAAATATCTCCTGCCGTCAAAAATAAATCGTACCTGCTTGAGGAGCAATTATATATTGTATTATTCAAGAATTATATGTATATTTGTAAAAACAGAAAAGAAAAATATGATATTAATGATATTAAGAATCACTTATATTTATAGCGCGCATTAGCTTGTAAAATCTGTAAAATAGATAGAATAAAAAAGAACTAATGTAAATAATGCGTTTGTATAGTAAATTAGTATATAATAATTATATAAATTAGTACATAATATTCTATTTCATGTTTTTATTAATATTTTTACGTTTTTCGATTGTACACAAATGCGTGTGTAAATACAGTAAATAAATTTTAATAAATATATATATATAAATTTTATAAATATATATATATATATATGTATATTATATATTTATTATAATATATATATATATATTAATTACACTTATATTTTTGTACTTAAATAGAAAAAATAAATAATTACGGAAAAGTTACAGGTAATTAATTAAAAATAAATCTAACAATTAATAATATATATTGTTTAATTATTGTTAGAATGCATTTTAGAATTATTTTGTATATAAAATAATAAGTGTCATATAAAATATGTAACAAAAGTTTTATTTTTTTATACATTTATACTACATATATAAAATAATACATGTTTTATTGTAAATATAAAAAAATATAGAATTATTTCAGTCTTTAATGCCAAATAAGAATAATAATTTAATAGAATGTATTCAAGGCTTGTATAATGGCAGTGCGAGGTAAAAATCATTTTCACACATTATACATTGTACATATATATACAATAATTTTGAATTTCATTTACTAAATATTCTAAATGTTGTATGGCACAGTCTGATTATACACTGCAGGAACAGCATTACTTTATAAAAGTATTTAAAAATTGTAACTTATTGATTTTTATATTCTGATCGACTATTAAAAAAAATAAATAAATGCAATAAGTATGTTTCATACTCATAAAAATAAAAGAAAAATATTTTTTTATGAATATACTTTAAATATACTTAGATTATTTAATTATAATGTTCATTACTTTTTTGATTTTATTCTTCTTAGAAATAGTTTTGAATTTTTCTATCTATTTAGATTTTGTAATACAGAGTTTGATATGTCTTGTTATAAATGTGAAATTTTCGCAATTTACCTTTTATACATTATATTATATATATATAATATATATATATTTTTAGAGAACAAAACAATGTTAATTACAAATATAAAAATAATAATATAAAAAAAATCTTCCTAAAACAACTTATATCTCAAAAACTAAAAATCATATACAACTTTTATACATTACAATTATTACAATATTTACAATATTTTATGATTAAATCTCTTACATTATAAAGTTAAGAGGCACAATGGTATACATTTTTTACAGAGATAATAATAAAAAGACTTAAATGTAAGTAATACTTTAAAAAAATGTATTAATGTTGCAAAAATTCAAGTATGACTTTAAATATAATTCAATAATATGAAATAAATTCTCATTTAAATCATCTTTAAATAAAAAATTTTAACTGAATTTAAATTTCTTCATTAAAAAATTATTTTCTTTTGAAAATTTTCAAAATATTAATTAACATTTAATTTATGAAATTTAATTATATTTAATTATAATAAAATTGTTCGCTTATATTATTTCAGTTAATATAAATAAATAAGAAATATTCATTATTTATTTTTTTCAATTTTGAATATTTTAAAAATAATTTTTTTTGTTCTTTATTTGTAACATATAAACATTTTAATAAAATAAATTTTCATTTTTTAAAAAATTTTTAAAAACCTACTAAAAATGTCATTTTTTAAAAAATAGAATATAAATAATTTCTAATATAATTCAAGGTACAGGAGAAGGAGGTGGTGGAAGTGGACTAAAATATGTAGAAGATCGTGAACTAGGAGAAGGAGGGCAACTAATTCCAGCATCACTTTGGTAAACAGACCTTGGAGTAGGGGGTGGAGGATAAGGTTCACTTTCATATCGATATCTTGCTGGATAATTGCTATCTGACTCATCGCAAACATCTGTACTGCACGGAGTTGGAGGTGGTGGTTGATTTATACTTTTATAATATCTATAAGGTTTATACCTAGATGCATTACTGCTTGAGCACCTCGTAGAATTGGCTGTTGTGGCAGGACTTGGAGGAGGATTTAATGTCTCTTGAGGATAACCTCCTGTGGAACTCCCTCGAGTTGAACTTGATGCACCTTAAATTAGAATATTTATTATTGTAATCTAAAAATATTTCTTATTTTAATTTTATATTTATATCATTTTAATATATTTTAATATATTTTAATATATATAAAAAAAATATACTTTAATTTTCTAATTCAAACATTTAAAAGTTTATATTTGAATGTTATAAAATCAATTTTTTATATTAAATTTTTAATAATTATTTATATTATGTATTTTTGTAAAAACTATAATATTTATATATTTTTGTAAAAATTATTCATAAAACTATTTATTTATTAATATTTATAAATAATTATTTTTCAATAATAAAACAAATTAAAATCTTACCAGTAATATGACTGCGATCATAACTTGATCCAATACTACTTCCATTTAACATTGACATTCTTACAGTTTCCATTCCTATTTTCAAATCTTTTCTACAATTTTTTTGTGCAAACATTGGTTTTGCTAATCTTGCAGGTTTTGGTGATAATGGATCTCCAGCTGAATCATGTAAAATATCAGGTAATTCTTCGTTATTTATAAATTTTCTTCTACAATAATAAAATCCAAAAGCAATTGCAGCAATTGTTGCAATCAATCCAATAGGTACAATAATAACATAAGTGATTTTTCCAGATTCTAATGAATTATTCTCTTGTCGGGGATTATTTGCTGGTGTACATGCAGATGCAAGTTCGTCACTTCCATCAGCACAATCCTCCCAACCATCACAAAGAGCAGAACCAGAAATACAAACACCATTACCTATGCATTGAAATTGATCTGGACGACAACAATGTGCTTCATCTAAACCATCATGACATTGAGTTGTTCCATCACACACCCAGGACATATCTACAAAAATTTAATAATATTTTATAATTTCATTCTTTTTAATTTATAATCGAAATAATTATTCAATTTTTTTACCAATGCAATGACCACTTTGACATTTAAATTGCTCACGATTACAAGTTGGACAACCTAATTCATCACTTCCATCAGGACAGTCAGTTTGACCATCACATTTCCATGTTGCAGGTATACAATCTTTTGTTACTGCAGAGCTAGGTGCAGCACAAGTAAAATGATCTGTTCCACAAGCTGGCGCAGCTCTACAAGTTTTTTCATCTTCGGATAAAACCAAGATTTTGGACAAGAACATCTAAAAATAATATTTTTAACATAAATTTTTCTAATCATGAAATGCACAGTAACTATATTCAATTTTTATTAGTTTTCTTCATTTTTGTAATCTTATATACTTTCTTGATTTTATATTTTATTTAATGACTTTTATAAATTAAAAGACATACCTAGAAGAAACAGTTCCTATACAAAAATGTGAACATCCTCCAAAATCTCGAAAAGGACTGCAAATATGTGTTTTCATTATATCATCTTGTGGAGTATTTATTGTAATTAAATCTGTGAGTACTTTATTCATGATTGTTTTTCTTCCATTTCCAGATTTATTAATGCGCTCTAAACTAGATGTTTCTTTATCAAACCAATAAATAAAATCAAGAAAAACTGATAAATAAATAGTTGATCCTTGTCCAACAGGAGAAATTAGAATTCTTCTATTATTTCCATCAAAATCTGCATATTCAATTTGATTGCCATGTGCCCAATATACAATATTTGAAATTGTATCTACTGCAATGCTTGTTGGTTGTTCAAGATCTGTTGCTATTACAATTCTTTCTTTTCCATCCATTTTACTGCGCATAACTCTCATTTTTCTTCCTATATCTGTCCAAAAAAGAAATCTTTTTTCTGAATGTATAGCAATATTTCTTGGTTTTTCTCCATCACCTTTAACAACAACACCTAAAGCAGAAGCATTGTCAAGTTTTGTAACATTAATTGCATCATTTATGGCACATGACCAGAATAATAATCTTCCTAATGAATCTAAAGCAAGATCCACTGGATGTCCTGAATTTCCAGAAATCATTATACTTGAATGGGTTTTGTTTTCCAAAGTTTTTCTAATAGATAAAGTACGTCCATCTATCCAATAAATATGTTGAGTTATGGGATCAAATTCTATAGATCGTACATGTTTTAAACCTTGTATTCGTAGAACCACATCTGGGCAATCATTTGTATCAGGTAGAAAGCGAAATATTGCGTTACGCAAACTATACATCATAAAATTTTTCGGTGCTGTAATAAATATATACAGTTATTATAATAATAAAAAAATATATTTTTTTTATTATCTTTAAAATTTTATTTTTAAAAAATAAATAATTTTTTAAATAATATAATATAATATTTACATTTATTATACTTAGTTTTAAACTAGATATTTAAAAATATTTAAAATATACAATTAAATATTTGTATTATTTTTTAATTATAATTAAAATTTTATAAATTTATACTAACCAATGCATGTTTTATTATCTTCTGCTAAATTGTAATGAGTAGGACATTCACATTTGAAAGAATTAGATATGCTTTCATTTTCTCCTGGTAAAGCAATACAAAGATGAGAGCAACTTCCATTTTTTGAAGCACAAGGATTCCATCCTGCTTGTCTAGAAGCATGAAAAACTAACAAGTCTGTCACAGATTCTAATTTATTATGTATCTTCTCTCTATTTGCTCCATTAGTTTTATTAGCTTTTTCTATATCACCTATTGATTATATGAATTATTTATTTAAAATTATTTAAAATATTTATATATTTAGAAAAATACATATTTAATTTAAAATCGAAATTTATTTATACATGATAAAATGATTATTTTATTAATCAATATTTTATTTTTTTTACCTGTATTCCAATCTGTCCAATAAATATAATCTTGATATTGAGTAATACTAAATGGATACACAATATTTTCTGTTATAATTGCATATCTTTTTCTTGTACGTAAATCAAAACTATCAACAGCTGGAGTATATAAATCTGCCCAATATAATTTTCGTGCTGAATGATCAATTGTTAGACCATTTGCTCTTCCAATATTGGAAAGTATTATTTCACGATGTGTACCATCCAAATATGATCTTTCTATATTTCCAGAATTTCCCCATTCTGTCCAATACATATGGCTGGAAAATATAAAATATTAAAAATTATATAAACATCTTATAAATATTTTATAAACATCTTTTATTATGTTATTCTATATATTCTAATTTCTAACTGTATATAAATGTTTTTTTTTAATAAATAAATAACATAATTAAATAATTAAATTAATTACTAATGATGTATTATATTTTTAATTTTATTAAAAAAAATAAATATAACATATATAAATATATTAAATATAAAAATAAAATATATAAATATATTATATATAAATATAATATATATATTAAAAAATCAATCAGTATAATTACCCTTTGCTAGGATCAAGAGCTAAACATCTTGGTTCAATAATATTATTCCAAATAAGAACTTTTCTGCTACAGCCTTCTAATCGAACCATTTCTATTCTTCGAGTTCCTGTATCACTCCAATATAAATTATGAGCAATCCAATCTATTGCTAAACCTTCAGGTGTTTCTAAACCAAGATCCACAACTCTTTCTATATCAGATCCATTTATAAAAGCTCTTGTAATTGTTTTCAATTTAACATCCGTCCAATAAATACGATTGTCTACAATGTTAAAATCTAAGGCGCTAATAAAAATAAAATACATCAATAAATATTTTCAATGATAGATTTTAATACAATTTTTTGTTCAAATGTATAAATGTAAATTTTACCTTGCATCTTTAACACCAGTTAATGGAATAATATTATCATTATTTGCATTTTCAATGCTAATTCTGCCAATGTTTTCTTTTCTTGCAAATAACATAAATGCATCTGGGACAACACAAGTCTTTTTATCTTTAGTTAATTCATATCCAATTTGACATGCACACACATATTTATTTCCTGGTCTGTTCAAACATAGATGACTACAACCTCCATTGCTTTTTACACAAGGATTTGTACCATTAACTTTTCCTAAATGCACTGCTTTTAAACCCATAACATTTGGAACTTGATCAACTATAACTTCTCTTTCACCACCTGTAAGTTTATGTGCTCTATCCACACTTCGTCTTTGCCAATCAGTCCAATATAAATAATCTCCTAATAAACTTAATCCAAAAAGATGTGGTAGATTGTCTGTGATTACTTCTCTTCTATTTGTACCATCCATATTACATACTTCGATCTTATCTGTTTTTGCATCACACCAATAAATTTTCCATCTTGCAAGATCTAAAGCAATTCCATTTGGCCAAACAATATCTTTATTTATTAAAAGAATACGTTCTGTTCCATCAAGATTACTTCGTTCTATTTTTGGACGTTTTTCATTCCAATCTGTCCAAAACATCCATCCTAATTCTGGAGCTAAAGCAATTGCTCTAGGTTCAATTAAATCTTCATTTATTAACACTTTTCTACTTGTACCATTTAATCTAGCTACTTCAATTCGATCTGTTCCTGTATCAGTCCAATAAAGATTCCGTGCCAACCAATCAACAGCTATTCCATCAGGATTCTTTACTTCTGTTGTTATAATATTTTCTTGATTAGAACCATCAAGAGAAGCTCTACGAATTGCACGAGCTTCTTCATCCGTCCAATAAAGCATTTCTTGCACAGGATCAAAATCAATTGCTATTGCATGTTTAATTCCTAATTTTATTAAAAAATTATAGTATGTATAATTTTTTTAAAAAACAATTGATACATAAAATATTGAAGAATACCTGTTAATGGTAACACAAAGTTAGTATAATCTGGAGAATCTAAAGAAATTCGACAAATTTCATTTCTTTGAACTATTAATAACAATTCTTCTGGTCCTTCTGCACAAGTCAAATTATCCACTAATTTCACACCAGTAGGACATGCACAACTATATCCAGGTTCTGTCATACTAAGAAGACACAAATGTGAACAATTTCCATTATTTTTTTCACAAGGATGACTACCATATGGTTGTCTTTTAACATCCCATACTTCTATGTCACCAGGTATATATTCCCCATGTAATAATTCTCTAGGATGTGCTTGGTTTTGACGAACATCATATGAATGTACACACCATGTTTTCCAATCAGTCCAATATAATCTATGATCAAAAAATGTTACTGCAAAAGGGTAATCTAGTCCTTGTTCTATAACTTTTCTTCTGTTTTTTCCATAATAATCCATCACCGCGATAAATTTAAGTCTTCCATCTACCCAATAAACCAATTCATTTTCATAATCTACAGTTAAACCATTTGGCCAAAATATATCATCAGAAATGATTACTTCTCTTGTTGATGGATCTCCATTCATTGCAGCTCTTTCTATTTTAGGTACATCACCCCAATCAGTCCAAAATAATATACTTTTCATTGGAACAAGAGCAATAGCTCTTGGTTGATAAATATCTGTCCAAAAAAGAACTTTTCTATGATGTCCATCAATGCTAGTTACTTCTATTCTATTTTTTTCTCCATCTGTCCAATATAATTTTCCTGTATACCAATCACAAGCTAAACCATCAGGAGAAATTAAACTAGAATTTACTACAATTGTTTTTTCACCAGTATGAGTACCATTTGTTCGAATACATTGAATTATTTCTAAACCACTATCTGACCAACATACTAATTCATGCTCAAAATAAAAATCTAATGCTGCACCTTCTGAGAGATCTTTTATGACAGTAGTTACTTTGTTAGTACGAGAAGCATTAGCCATTCTAATATCTTTTTGTGTGACAAAGAGAAGAGTTGGTGTTCCTAAAAATAAAAATTCACATTATTAAAATTAAAAAGATTTATATAATTATTATAAAATTGCATAATAAAAAGTAAAAAATAAGATTTAAAATTATTATACATTAACATAAAAATCAATCAAATGAAAAATAATTTTTATTAATACCAGAAATAAAATTATTAATTAATTAATCACTTAATTTTACAATTCCTTTAAGATTTAATATTAATTTCTTTCTATTATTTACTTTTCTATTATTTCTTTCTATATTTAAGTATTTATTATTTATTATTATAACATATTATAATAATATAATAAAATAGACTACAATTAGGAAATTATTATATTACATTATATATAAATGTAATGTTTCAATTTAAGATAAACCGTAACATAACCTCTATGATAAAATCATGTAAAAATAAAACAATAAACATTACTTACCATTAGAGAAAAGGACAAGTTTGAAAAAACATGCAGTTAGAATAATTATTAAACTGATAATATCCATTCTGTAAGGCAGAGAAGATCAACTGGCGACTCGCGAGCCGCATGCGGCTCCTTCTCCTACTTGCCTACTTCGTTGAGCCATAGAATCCCGAGCTCCTCAGCAGCCATTTGACTGTTTTGAGTCTGTTGTCTCGTTTCTAAGGATTGGACTCAAAAATATCACAATATGACTTGAATAAAATTTATTTGAAATATATTGCAATATATATTTGAATGAAATAATAAGTTAATTCAACTAATATATTATCTTTATTTTAACAATAACTTACAAAAAATGATTTTATATTACATGAAGATGATTTATATTTAAATATCAAATTTTATTAATTTTAAATAATTTTTTTTACTTCAATGTTTAATTTCTAAATAAAATAACAAATAATTCAAATTTTAACTTTTAACATTAAATTTTAATTTTAAATACTTACTACGTTCTGTATCGAAATTATAAACAATAAATATATGTATCCAAGCATGAAGCGATAGGGAAACAAACGGATTAGTTATTTAACAAATTTGTAAGTTTCTATGTCTTCATTCTTCGAACTCAAAACAGAAAAATTAATCAGGTCCAGACCTGTTGTAAGAGATTCAGGGCTGGTCCTTCAGCCAAGTATGTAAATTGAAGCAAGACGTCGAGAAAATGGCGGGAGTCCAGACTTGTCGATCAAAGTGAATTTAATTCTTCATTCTTATTTGTTTGTTTTCATATATATTTATAAAATATACTTACAGCATAGTTACAATTTAACATAATAAAAAACTAAAATGATCTTATACTAATTAATCCTATTAAATAAAACATATGTAAATAAAATTTCATTTTTCTGTCTAAATTAGTACATAACAAAATAACATTTAATATCTTATATATATTATCTTACATATATATATATATATATATGTTATAATGTTAATTTTAAACAAAAAATACGCGAAATAAAAATTTAAGAAAGTTTGTAAAAATTTATTTAAAAAATTACAGGATAAAATTTTTATCTTTTTGTTTAAAAAATAATTATTTATAAGTTTCTAAAAAAAAATTATAATAACTAACATATAAAAATAAAAATATTTTTATCGAATAATTTTTAAATTATTTTATCAATATTTTTAAATTATTTATTTTATGTAAATTTATTTTATAATAATGTCTATATTTTAAGCATGATATGCTTTTTTTTTTTTTAGTTAAATCACAAACTAGATATAAAAGTAAACCAATCATCTTATTTTCGTCTAAACTTAACTGCCATACCGACTTAGAAGTTTGACATTGATTTCAGCGTCCTCTGTTCATAAATAAAACAGCTAAGATGAAATAGTTATATAAAGTATGAATAAGAATTAAGTAGAGAAAGATATATATTCATGTATATTTGACAAATAGTTATTATTCGATGCAGAAAAATTTTTGTCAAGAAATTGAAATTGTGCTAAAATAAATTCAGTTGCCACAATTATACATTCTGTTGATAACGATGAAAGTGATATGAAAATGTGATAATAGATTCTACAGTTCAAAAATTTAGATTATAAAAATACGTTACATGATTATTCTATTTATTTATGGTCAAATTTAAGATAAGTAAAAAGATATTTATTGAGAATTACGGAATTTTATATTACGTCTTCTAAAATACCAACTTCAAAAAAATCAGAATTTTTCCTACGCCATCTACATTTTATTATGGCAATCCTAGATTTGGAGATGGCAATCCTCCAGATTTATTTTGAACTCGATTATTAAGAATGATATATTTAAAAAAATTTTTGTTTGTTTTGGGGAGAAAATTTAGCGCATCGCACATAAGACAAATCCATTTCATTAATATTTCATATATAATAACATATTTTATATATACTAAGAATATACTATTGAAATATAGCATTTTTTTTATAAAAAATTATTAGAAAATTAGAAACAAATAATTATATAATAATTTATAACAAACAATTTAATTTATAATATAAATAAAATAAAAAATAATATGAAAAGAGTCATACTATTTTCAAATGCAAATGATGAAATGATAACAAAGAGAAACGATTAAAACAAGAATTGATATTTTGGAAATTGAAATATAATAAAAAAAATTTAATGAAAATTTCATTAAAAAAATTGGGGATAAAATTATGTTCTTTCGAAGAAGAGAAAAAAAAAATTCTTATCTTATAGGAAATTTCTTAAAATTTTATATAACCTAGTTATATTTTACTTATTTACATTATATTTACATTATAATTATTATTTTATTTTTAGTTTATTTTGTTACTTTTATTTTGTTAGCTATTTTTACTTTATATAATATTGAAATATATTATTTTAACATAGTTCAATTTTTATCATTTTTATCATTAATCGTTGAAATCTATTAATTGGGAAGATGTATATATATATCCATTTCCCGCGAAATGAACACAGATTTTTTAAAAAGATTAAAAAATGATCTACATAAATTTATTTTACAACGATCTTAAATCTTATATCTTATATGAACTGCAATTTAAGTTACTTTATAAATTGATGATAATAATTAACAAATTACAATCAATGAAAAGTTCTGTAATAAAATTTAAATTGTTTAAATATAAAACTAATCAACGAAAAATCATAATTGTGGATAAAGGATCTTATGTCATGTTCTATAATTGTGAAATGTTTTCTTTCGTTATACGTAAAGTACATGCATATAGATATGTAAGAATGTTGAACAGCATCGCATTGCATACAGATGACTTGAATTGTATAAACCAAATGATTTATAATATTAATTATTTCGATTCGAAAATTGACATATATATATATATATATATATATATATTAATCGAATTTCACGTTAATCTCTCATTAATTACCGAGTGCTTATGTCCTTTTTTATATATGTGAATATATAAGATCATTTGCCTTCTTATTATTATTGTTTTATTATACTTATTATTATATTTTTATTACATCAAGAGATTTACCAAGCTCGTAAAGAAAAAACGATAATATACAAACAAATAAATAAACTCAATGGAAGAGCGGGGCAAAAGCAATATAAAATCGAGAGTGTAAAACGAATATAAATTGAATCAATGAGAAATCTAAATGAAGGCAAAAGGCGTAGCAATCGAAATGCGGCGAAGATTGTTTCGATATTTTTCCTTGGAATCGGAAAGGATTTTGATTCCGATTTCGGAAGCGGACAACACTCGACTCTGGTCAACCGATGACCGGTGGACCAGAGCGAGACGGAAACGGCTCTTGTTAACTCTGGCGACATATCAACCGAATGCAAGAGGCACGCGTGGGCGCGCGCGCGCGCGCTGCCGTTTCTATCGACCAGATTTTCGTCTCTCCTCCTCTCGTTTCCTCCTCCCGGTCGCGGCCTCCCTATGCATTCCGCTAGAATCCTAGCCGTGGCAACGCCTCGTCACTGCCTCGATCGTCTTCCGGGAATTACACCTAACTAACCGGTCTCCCACGTGGCCACGTGGAGAACACGAGGAAAACAAAATTGTACGATCTCCCCGCGCTCCTATCCGAACTGCGATTTTTTCCACTCGGTCCAAACCCACTCCGTCCCGTGTTTCAGATTCCATTCGGCTAACTTCCATTCGGCCAATTATATAAAATTGTCAACCTGTATATATGTATATATACGCACATAAAAATATATATATATATATATATATTTATACGAAGATGAAGATTGAACAAATGCGGTAACGTGGCAAACGGTGATAGTGTTGGTGAATACGATCCCTTCTATATTTTTCGTACATGTCGTTCACGCGGGTTCATGTGATCGGTCTCGGTCCTCGATTCTCGTGCACAGATTGAACGGAAGGGTGTTTCGCCAGTTCGGCAGGAAAATTGGAGATGCGTCGAGTCTGATTCTTTCGGAGAGAGAAAAAAGAAGGAAGAAAAGGGCGGAGAGATGGAAGCGGGATAAAGGGTGGTAAAGTGAGGAAGTGAGGAGAAATTTGACTCGACGACCACCACTGTTCCATTTAAAATGCATCGAAACGTCAGTTTCGTTACGTTCAAGTGCGCAAAATTGAAATCTTCCTGATGTTGGACGACGTATCGTATCGAGGCGTTTAGTGATCGGTTAAACTATGCCAAATTGAAAGATCGACGAATTATGCCGACGCACGTACAAATTATCATCAACTTCGTGTAAAGTCGATAACGGAGCGTTGCACAACTATCACAATATTGTGTTACAATACGCTTCGTATGTATGTTTCTAATTTTATTTTTCTTCTCTTTTGTTTTTTCTTTTTAAACCGAAAATATATTTGAAAAGTGCGGGGATGTGATTTTCGATCACTGTAATAAATGTCTCGCAACGTCTCTGACACGATTAATTAATGACAAGGAAAAAAAAAATTATGGGACTGAAAATTTTCGATTTTTAGATATGATAACAACAATAATGTTAATAATAACGAAATGTGTGTCAGAACTCGATCAGCTTAAAATATCAATAACGAGCGGTATCCACATTTTTTACTTTGCTCTTTATCCAAAGGAAATCTATAATATGTGAAGAATTTAGGTCGATCGTGTCGATAATCATCATATCGTATTGTTTCAAACAATTAAATCGACCGATAAAAATACTTTTGCCAATTTTTAATATCAGTTGATCACAAGACCACGCCTGAAATTTTATTATAATCCCGGGATTGGGATGGTGTAGGAGGAAAATTGGCGATAAAACAGTGGGTAAAATATATCAAGAATCCTGTGTGCAATTTCGTCAAACATGCCTGGACTTGGGATCATTTCGATAAAGGATGAGGGTGAAAGTGAAGGAAGCGAAGCTGTCAAAAAAATCGATCGGTAAGCCGAATAATTATTTTTATAATTTATACGTATACGTAACGAGAGATTTCAATTTTTCAATATCGTTGCGATTAAATTAACGATAATAATAAAAATAATAATAATATTCTCCCCGTTAATTCCTCTCTTTCTTTTTTTTTTTTTTTCATTTTCCTTACTCATCTCTTGACGAATTATTTCTAATTTCTAAGAATAAAAAAATAATTCAACAATTATTACATCACGTATATATAATTTCAAATGTTATAGTTCAAAAAGAAGACTTAGTCATAAGTTTCCATACATGTCACGGCGGGGGAACGATAACGATTTAAAATACCGTTTACACTAAAACATCAGATAATGCATACGCTAATACTTGCAGTATCTTTTAACCATTTGATATCGGCAAACGAAAAAGGTTCTCCTGGTATGTGCGATCAATCTCAAGACGAGGTAAGTCGCCGTTTCTCTCCTTTTTTCTCCTTTTTTCTCCATTATAAAACGGAAGGCATCATCTAGCTAGCTCTCGCGAATCAAAGGGAGTGAAATTTCTTAGAAATCCGCCCGTATGTTCGCATTTTGTTGCGTTGCGAATTCGTCCGTCAGATTCAAACAATTTCGTCTGTGCTGTTCACCTCGCGTTCTATAAATAGCGGCTGATCTTTTCGCAAACAACGATATTTATTTAATCAATCGTTCAAAATTTTTCCGAACGTGAAATGAAATCAAACGCGATTCAAAACTATTTGTAATTAATCAATGAATTCGAACGTGAAAAGTAAAATATTTCGCATTTCGTTTGTGAATGAAATCGAACTATTTATAATTACGATGTGTCTAATTACGATTCAAAACTGTTTGTAATTAATCAATGAATTCGAACGTGAAAAGTAAAATTTTTCGTAGAATTTTTGATCGACGATTGTTCCCCAAAAATTTCGATTTTTACAAGTAAAACAGTATACGCAATTGAAGTACCGGTTTTCTTTTAAGAAATTAACGAAAAAAGTGATAAATTGCGATAATTGTACAAATTTTGCAAACTGTTCGTGAATATTGTTCTCGAATCTTGATATTTACCATTGATAAGGATTTTATTATTTTACATGATTATATTAGATGATACGATACGTTCCAAAAAAAAAAAAAAAGACAAGCGAACATACTAAATTATTTCGAACGATTTTACAATTAACGAACAATTCGCAAACATTTTATAACTATCACTATTTTCGCGAATATTCAATTCGTAATAACGATATTTGCGAATTGTCACTAATTAATCAATTTATCAATTTCTTACACAGGGATCGGTTGTGTTTACTTACATACATTTGTTATTCTCAGAACGCAAGATTTGTGAAAAAATATCGGGAATAGATAAGCAAACAGAGAACACATTTTTTTTGTGAACGAACGAGCATTTTTTTTTTTTTTTTTTTTTTCTACAAAATTTGATTGAAGAAAATAAAAAAAAAATCGATCTTTTGAATGAAAATTAATTTAAAATCCTCGATAATAGCTACATCGATTCGAAATCGTTAAGCCACTTAATCGTATTCTCTTTAAGTTATATTTAATTTATTCACTCGATTTATTTCGACGATCCTTGAAATTGCGAGATCGTTAATAAACAAATAAAAATGTATCAGAAATAACATTTTCTATGTGTATACGTGTATCTCATATTTTAACATATAATATTTAAACATTTATATTAGCATTTATCTTTATCTTTTCTCTTTATAAAGGAAGTGTAAATAATATCTTTGCATTTTTTTTTTGTACGTCTATATTGACACAAGATAATATATTTATAGATTTTTAAATTAAATTTTGCTGATAATTTTCCAATTATTGGAATGATCCGATAATTGCATTTTTTTTTTGTACGTCTATATTGACACAAGATAATATATTTATAGATTTTTAAATTAAATTTTGCTGATAATTTTCCAATTATTGGAATGATCCGATAAATTTTTCTTATCTTCTGGTTCTTCTAAGATTATTCAATTTTTGAAAAAGCATTCAAAGTAAATACATATGTTTTCAATTTTTATTATTCACACGATAAAGCTACATCTGTCTAAATTCTATCGAAAATGGGCGGAACGTATATATAAATTGTATTCGGTTGATTAATTATCTAAAACGATGATAATAATATCGATTCGTTAAAATAGCGAAGCGATAAATTTATCTCATAAATTATTATTTTACAATGAAAAATTTAAGAAAAATTCTTATCGATTATTATCGATCTAAAGAAAAAATTTTTATGTTCAGGTTGTGTTTCGTGGCAGCAAAAGAGTGCTAGATAATGAACATAGCACTTTCAATTTCGAATTCGATAATAAAATATACACGAGTCACTTACGGTTACGAAAATGGTTAATAGGATTGTTGATCTTCTTGCTCGTCTCGTTAATTGTGATCAATACGTTCAACACGGATCAATTTCGAGTGATACGGTACGGAGCCATTGTCAACGATAGTTCACAAGGTATTTAAAAAAAAATAAATAAATAAAACGATTTCTCTAGATAAAAGTTCATGTGTAAATATTTTTAATTTACGAACGTTCGATTTTTCGCAAATTATTCGACGGATATTGGAAAATTGTATTTCGAACGCTTGAAGTTAAAAAAAAAAAAAAAAAAAAAATTAATTTTTAAACATCTCGATAAACATGAATAACTTGTCAAACTTGATCAATGCCTTTTTTTCTTTATTTTCAGAAAATTACGTAGAATTGAAACCTTTCTTCGCTTCTATAACCAACTCTGGTTTCCTGGTTCGCAACAAAGGTTGCCGAATTCCAGATATGGATCCCTTCGATTCGGCGATCGTACAATTCATTCAAAGGGAGAAACCACTTGTCTGCGATCACGGAAATCATTTACCATTGATCGATTCAAACGACACTGCATTGCACGTGAATCCAGACGCGATCAACCATTTTTACAACAATTCGGAGGAGATCGATTGCTGTTGGCGCCCGTTCTGGCGAATGAAAAACGAGGATAACATTGTTACGTCAGTAAGACTGATCGTTCTATCTCTACACTACAATTTCCACCAGATTCGTGTCAATCTTTTTTTATCAACTCGTTTTCGTAATTCGAAAAATTCAAATATCGCCTCTCGTTTCGAGATTAAAGATAAAAAAATTCAATTAACGATCCAATTATTAATTCGAGTATATTCGATATTTACAGATATGGAAACGAGTGTTTCAAATTCAAAAACTCGACGATCGTGAACACCGAATTCGTGAAGGTGGAGTGTTCGCGCAATAACCAAGTGATATATAAGGATTATCACGCATTTGTGCCCCGTTTCCGATCGGTGGAAAAGAAATGCGAAAAAGCCAGAGCTGCCAATTCGAAAACTGAACATCTTAGCGTGTTAATGATCGGCCTCGACTCGGTTTCCAGATTAAATTTTCATAGAATGATGCCGAAAACTGTCCACATGTTGGAAGAGCTTGGAACGGTAGAATTGTTGGGCTACACCAAAGTGGCCGATAACACTTATCCGAATTTAGTACCTGTTCTGAGCGGGTTGTCCGCTAGCGAATTGCACGATTTGTGTTGGCAAAAGAAAGATAAAACGTTCGACGAGTGCCCCTTGATTTGGAAAAATTTTAGCGCGTCGGGTTATCGAACAGCTTTTGCCGAGGACGCTTGCGCCATGACCACGTTCAATTATTTGAAACGAGGCTTTCGAATTCAACCGACCGACTATTATCTCAGACCGTTCTGCATAGCGTCCGAGAAAGATATCGGCAATACGCACAAATTGAACGCGAATCTCTGCGTGGGGACCAGGAAAACGTACGACAATTTGTTAACCTACGCGAAGAAAATCGCCTCGCAATTCTCCGCGGATCCGTATTTCGCGATGATCTGGCAGGCTAGCTTGACCCACGATTTTTTCAATTATCCACAATTGGGCGACGAATCTTACTACAATTTGATAAGATATCTTTACAACGAACGATTGATGAACAAAACGGCATTGATAGTGATGAGCGATCATGGAATGAGATGGGGAAGCTTTCGACAGACTTACCAAGGTAGGATGGAGGATAGTCTTCCCTTCGTGTTTCTCGTATTGCCCCATTGGTGGAGAGAAAAATATCGAATGGCTTGGACAAATTTACGAAGAAATACGCGGAGCCTGACTACAGCTTTTGATTTGCACGAGACTTTGATGGATATAATGAATCTTGAAAATCTAGAAGAATCACGTCTTAAGACTCGTCTTTCAAGAACAATGTCGAAAGATAATAATTTGCCACGCGGGATCAGTTGGTTCTTGCCGATTCCTGACTATAGAACGTGTACCATGGCGGGTATTGCCAGCCATTGGTGTATGTGTCACAACAGTTACGACGTTTCTGCGCAGGACGAGAATCTTAGAGATAAAGCGATGTTTTTGGTCTCGGAGTTGAATAACATGCTGAAGAAATTCGTGCAATGCGCGATTTTGAAGCTGAAAGAAATTAAAGCTGCAAAAGCGTGGAGGGACGAGGATGAGCAAAGTCAACTCGTAGATTACACGATCACGGTTGAAACGGAACCTGGTAACGCGATATTCGAGGGCACGATACGGTACAGAAGCGAGAACAAGACTAACAAGTTGGTAGGATCGGTTAGCAGATTGAACGCATATGGGAAACAGAGTGCCTGTGTCGATGAATTCAATATGAGATTATATTGTTATTGTTTATAACTTTCAATTTTTTCGATATTTTTTATCATTTTTCTTTCTCTCTTTGAAGAACTTTCTCTTTAAAAAAAAAAAAAAAAAAACGAATTTTACTCAGGATTTCGGTAGTATTGAATGAAGTTAATACGGTAGCCAGTATACTGGTACAAAAAAAATCACACTGTGATAAGATACTTGCTTTAAATATGTAGTGATAATTCACGGCAATTTCGTGCTTAACAAATGAAGTGTCAACTAATGATAATATTATTATTTTTATTATTATCCGTTATTTTTTCCAAGATTTATTTTCGGTGAAAATTCGTTCGATGCCAAATCGTATTAAATATCGTTCAGTTGTTATTATTATTATTATTTATATTTTCATTCCTGTGCTTCCTCCCATGCTTTTTAAAGATTATACGATATTTATTTTTTAAAAATATCTATTAATTAAAAATTATTTATTAAAAGTTTTTTTGTTCTTTTTTCTTTTTTATGATCTTTCTCTAACCACTGTTCAGAGACTGTTTATTTCTTATACTAATTTAAATGATCGATGATCGATATCGATATTAGCACTATTGTTATTTGTTTTTTTATTTTCAGAATTATTTCATATCTCTTGATGATAATTATTATAATTATTGTTGTTGTTATCATTATTATTTCCTTATTACGCATAATATAAAATATACATTAGTAATTAATGCACAAATAAATAATAAATATAGTATAAGTGTATCTGATGCGGTGCAACGATATTATAGTGATATTATAGTGAATTCAAACCTAATTATGATAATATCGATATTAAAAAGGTGTTGATATTAACACGTTCAAGTATTTAAACACGTTAAGTGCCGCGCTTTCGGTGTGACTTTCCGTTCAAGCTATGATGCACATTGTCATTTGTTTAGAAATATCAGTGGCTTGAATGGAAAGTTCAATATAGGAATACATATATGAGTACATACAATGAGATTCACTCGCTTTTCAATATGTTAAAATTGTGTGCATTGTATGCATACTCTTGGTCTCTACTTCAATTATCCTATGAATGTATTATGTATTGCTAGGAAGGAAGTTCCCTGATGATTTTTCGGTAGCTAAGAGTTAAAAAAAAATATTTTATATGTATCATATATTGCTGAAAAGAATGTGAGTCTAATTGGTTTCCGGATAGACAGAAACAATGATAAAAATAGATACGAGTATTGACCAAAAATCTTCTATCAATAAATTAGATAATTAGATATATTAATGATGCGTAATAATAAGCGAAAATGCAAAATACTATTTTTCCTTGCTTCTAATTCAAATACAACATTTTACAATATAACTTTCTAGCAATACGTAATATTCGTACGTAAGTATGAGATTTTAATTGTAAAATTTCCATTCTTTTATTTTAAATGGTTTATTAAAAAAAAAAAAGATAAATCTTTAAGCAAGGAGTATATTACGATTCCAAAAAATTAAAAATTATTTTTTCAATAAAATTATACATTTAAAAAAAATGTAATTAAACAAATATCATTTTTTACATCTTTCATATGATAAGTTTTACAAAATTCAAATTAAAATATCTTATAAACTATAATAAGTTTTTGTTAAAAATAGATTAATATCTTTTTATAAAGAACAATGTGCTGCATCGATTGATATTAAAAATTATATGATTCTGATTAAAAAAAAACAAAAAATTAGCTTCATATAACCTTTATATGTCTATAAAGAAATTATTAATATAAGGTTATGCCTTTTAAATTATGTTATTCATTCTTTATATAAATTAAAATACGATAAAGATTTTCATATTTGAAAAATTGTTTCTTTTTCTTTATGAAATATATTATCATATTTACACCTTTTTTTAATAAATTATTTATGACTATAATAATAAATACGGAAACAAGTATTACCACTTATGTACGATATAATTAAAGATAGAATTTTTTTGAGTTACAAGAATACTTTTTTTTTTACATTAGATTAAATTGCGAATGTTTTTAAATATATTTTTAAATATAATATATTAAATGTATTTTTATTAAATACACTGTGATCAACTTTTAGTTAAATTTAAAAAACAATCCTGTAATAACACATCAGGAGAATAGAGAAATCTTTACCATTTGATGATTTGATATTTTATTATTTTAGACCAATATTTTAATTATAGAAGATATATAACTTAAAGATAATTTAAATATAAATTTTTTGTAAGTAATTTTTTTTATAAATTTTAAAATTATTTTATAATTAATTTTATATATTGAATGACAAGTTAAAAACACTTGTTGAATAAAATTGATTTTGCTTTAAAAATATATAATAATTTATACATTTACAAGCTTTGAATTGAATTATTTTTTTTTTCCAATTTATAAAAGAAAATAAATCGCTATGTATTGCAATTTATTCATTTATGATTTTAAAAAAAATGAAAGTTTTATTAACAATATTTGTATTCATTCAATTTTTTTTGAAATTCTATTTAAATTTAAAGAAAATAATTTCATTTGATATACTTACATATATTTTTCAATAGTCTATATGTCATCAAAAAAATATTTCATGATTTCATTCAATAATACTTTCTTATAATTGTACATATCGTATTTATATATTTATATTTACTTGGAATTTAAACACAAAGATATAAAAATTTAAATGAATTCATTTAAAATTTTTGAACACTAATTTTTAATATAATAATTATAACGGATTGGTGATATATTTGAAACAGTCATATAAATTGAAACTAATAAAAAATATAAATATGTATATTAAAATTATGATAGAGATACAGAAATTATTATTTATCTATGATTTTTTTTTATAAGAGGATATTTAAGATTACTCAATAAAACAATATAGTATCTAATAAAAAAATTGTATTTTAATTTTTGTAAATGGAATATACACAAAGGTACTGAAAAAATCTTTGTAAAATATAATATAATGTATAATTTAATATAAAAAATTTTTTAATAAAAATCTGAAATGGAAGTTAAATAATTGAATAATTCTTATTTGTTATAGACGTTGGATGATGTTTTACATTTTATTGCAAATAATATCAATAGAAAAATTGTAATACAATATTTTGCTAGTTGTTATTAAATCATGATTAGTGAGTATGTCTCACTTTTTAAATGCAAAATTTTTTTTATGTAAAACACTCGTACATTACCCACGCATATTAAACATAAAATAATTTATTTTGTTAAATAAAATGCTCAACCATTGCTGATGTTTATGTAAGTAATTGATAATAATGTACACATATATATATATGACCAGTCTCTTATAATAAAAAAGGAAGTACATGTACTTGCAATGGTTATTGTGTTTACTACATGTATTCACTTCAACTGACTTAGCAATTGATTACCAAACCTGTTGGTATCCACTTTTTAAAGAAGTGAAAACACTACTTGGTGTAGATACACACAAGTCAACACACGCATTTTAGTTGTATGCACTTTTTATAATATCACCTTGTACATTTGTATTGCATTTAAAGTTCTTAACTTCCACTTATTCCATTATAAATTCGATTTACAGTGTCTTGTTGAAGTAGATTTTTTATTCTGAAAACAAAAAAAAAAACAACAAAAAATCAACAATTGGAAAATTATATGCTTAATAATAATTTACCTTCTTTCTGTATATCTGTGAATTCCGTTTCTGGGAATGCAATATCAAATGTAATATACAAAGTGCCATGAAGATTGTTATTCTCATAATTAGGCATTCCTTCTCCTTTTTTCCTAATACGAGCTCCTGGTTTAGTTACTTTATCCCTTTGAATAGTCACTTTATGACCATCCAAATGTTCTATGTCCATTTTAAAACCTATTAAAGCATCTTGCATAGATATAGTAATATTTGTGTACAAATCATCACCGATTCTTTCAAAAACTGGATGTGGTTGTGTTCGTATCTTTAAAATTAAATCTCCAGGTTCTCCATCTAAATGTGGTTCACCTTCTGCTGTAAATTTAGTTTCTTGGCCATCTACCATTCCTGGTTCAACTTCAACCTCTAATATACGTTCCTCAGTAACAAATTTAACATTTGGACATTCTGAACAAACTGATTGTTGCATCATTTGAAATCTTCCATTTCCTAAATTGCGAGTAACTAATTCTTGTCTACAATTACATTTCCTTGTTCCTTTTGCAGCCTTCATAACTGGCTTATTTCTTGTTATCTAAAAGAAATACAATTTTTTTTTTTTTTACATACTCTAATTTTTTAGGTAATAAAAAATTTTACCTCTATGAAATTTCCACTATATAATTCTTCTAAAGTAACTACTAAATCCATTACAATATTAGAACCCTTAGGTGTTTCTTGCTGATGATGAGATTCTCCACCAAAATGAAAGCCAAAATCACCAAAAAAACTTGCAAATGGATCAGCATTATTCATCATACCATCTTTTTTTAAACATTCTTCTCCACATTTATCATACATTTCTCTCTTTTCATTATCTGATAATACTTCATAAGCTGCACCCAGATCTTGAAATTTTTGAGATGCATTTGGATCATCTTTATTTTTATCAGGATGTAATTCTTTTGCTAACTTTCTGTATGCCTTTTTTATTGCGTGTTGACTTGCTGTTGATGATATGCCTAAAATGGCATAAAAATCTCTTCTGCAAAAATTTCAATTCTTATTTAAAATTTATTACATATTATACAAATATGTGAAATTAAAATTTGAAATATTATTGAAATTATTCAATTTATTTATCAAATATCTATGTATGTATGTGTGTACTATTAGAAAAAGATATCGTGTAAATAATAAAAAAAATAATATCAATTAATAAAAATATTTAAAAATTCTATTATTTATTGCTTTTCAAAAAATTTATTGTAGGCGTTTCATATTAATAGCTTTTTTAAATAATTAACAAAACAAGAGGTTATAAAGTCATCATGTGGCAAATATTTTTACAAATATAAAAATAATAATTTTATGAATAAAAAAAAAGTTTTTTTACGCACCCTGCTACAGTAAGAATCACACATATTATTAAATTTATGAAAAGAGACCAAATCAATTTTATCGCTGCCATTCTAGCAGACGTTACAACAAACATCGGAGCTTAGATGTGGGTATTCCTGATTGGTGCATCGAATTCAATTTATCCGATTTTGATCGACAATAAACGACTTTTTAGGCGAATAC